CGCTGTGGTCAACAAGGCGGCAGATCGAACTCCGCCCTGCCTATTGATGTAAGCCACTGTGGTGCTGTTGTCGCTCCTGACCATTACATGCCTCCCTTGAATTAGGGGCCTGATATGCTGGAGGACTAACACTACCGCCCGTAGCTCTAGGAGGTTGCTGTGTCGAGACTCTGTTAGAGCCCAGCGCCCACCTATAGCGCTCTTCAGGCAGGTCCCTCCCCATCCTGTTCTGGATGCATCCGTGAACACTGTGATGTAGGAGGTCACCCGTCCCAGTGGAGACCCCCTCCGGAGGTGATCCGGAGACCCCCAAAACCGGAGGTTGCCCTCCACTGAGGGGGGGATGGTCACCAGCCGCCGCCTGTGCCTCTTGGGATCCAAGCGCAGGCTGGAGAACCACCTCTGCAGGCGGCGCATATGTAGTAACCCTAACGGGACCACCATGTGAGCAGCCGCCATGAGACCCAATGTCTGCATGACAGTAAAAGCTGTCACTGTTGCCCCCTGTCACAGCCTGCGCACCCCCTGAAGATGGGACGCACGTCTGCTCTCTGACAGGGTGGCGCGCGACGCGCCTGCATCGAGCACCACACCCAAATACAGCGCCCGTTGGTGAGGTATGGGGGTGCTCTTTTTCCAATTGATCGCAAAGCCCAATTTGGTCAGGTGTGTGATCAATTGTGCTGTGCAAAACATTGCCTGTTCCCGTGACCCAGCCATGACTATGAGGTCGTCTATGTAAAAGAAAACTCTCATGCCGTGTGCGCGCAGCGGTTGAAGCGCTGTGGCCACACATTTGCTGAATGTGCGTGGGGATAGGGAATAGCCGAACGGCAGCCTGTTGTACTCGTAGGCTATTCCCTGGAAGGCAAAACGCAGATACTTTCTGTGCTCTGGAGCAATTTCTACATGAAAGTACGCGTCTTTCAGGTCGATGGTGGTGAACCAATCGCCTGGCTGCACAAGCCCCATTAACTATTTCATAGTTAACCTGCGGAATTTCCTGCAGGAAATGTGGCGATTCAGGCCGCTGAGATCTAGAATAGGTCTAAATTCCCCTGTCTTCCTGAGAACCAGGAAGTACATGGAATAAAGATCATTTTCTCTGTGCTGAGGGTGCACAACAGACACAGCCTGTTTCTGCACCAGAGCCTGAATCTCTGCTGAGAGGAAACACATCTCCTCCTGGGAGAACAGATTTACCTCTTGTATGCCCATAAAAAAAGGTGGGTGTGGGACACCCACAAGACAGTGGTCCATGTGATACATTGGTACAGTGTATAGACATGTGGTACAGTGGGACGCTGCAAAACTGGAGTGAATGGCCCCGTTTCAGCGTCCTGTCCCTCCACCTTGTAAGCACACAGCTGAGTTTCCATTCCCCAGAACATTGTGTTAATGGACAAGCCCTCAGGTGTGGGGCAGCAGCTATGAAGCTGTGATACTCTCTGGTGACCCGTTCCGCCGCAAAAACTCCCCGCGAAGGGAAGATTTGCCCATGGAGGGTTGACACAGAAAGGGCCGATTATTTACTGAGGACCCTGAACGCACCGCCGCGCGCTCTTGTGTGAGCGCGCGCTCCACCCTAATGCTGTTCTCACCACTACGGTAAACAGCATTCATCGGAGTCTTTATAGGCGTAGTGTGTTTTACTAAGGTCCCTGAACGCACCGCTACGCGCTCTTGTGTGAGTGCAGGCTCCGCCATAATGCAGCCTTTACCACTACGGAAAACTGCATTGGAGTCTTTGCTCTAGGCGTAGTGTGTTCTCTGACAGCAATACGCCGGTCATAATGTCCCTGTACCCGCATAGTGCTTTCCCTTAGATAGCACTCCCTGCGGTTCATCCCTCTCATCTGCGCATGCCCACTAGCCACCTCCTTTACAGGAGCTGCAGCATGGGGCAGCCAATGGGGAATTTCTACGGTTAACATTGTGTGTAAGTGTGGCCCTTGTGGAAACAAAAGACACATATGGCTCGTTTCCACTGCAGCGGGTAGCCCCGTTTAAGCGTCCTTAACCGTCCTCAAGCGGCCAGGCCGGTTTTTGGTGGCGTTTCCATATAGCCTAGTACCGGCCAGCGGGTACTTTTTCCCTCTTTTTCCGGCCTCATAAAATCGTGGTTCCCTCAGACCAGGGCCAGGGCTGAACTAGTGACGTCAACACTCTTGACTGCTGATTGGTCAGAGAGAATCGTCACAAGATCGCGCGCGAGTTCATCCCTAGCGTCGCATATATATTTAGAAGCAAGCTTGCAGCATTTTTATAAACAGCATTTTGTAAACGGATGAGCTACAAAAATGGCTACGTCTAATAAGAAAAGCACACCGTGGTCGACCGAGGAGGTGACGACGTTCCTACATCTCATTGGGGATGATCAAATCCAGCGGGAGCTCGACGGAACAACTCGAAATGTGAACAAAAACAAAGCCGATCGCCCCGCCTACACTGCGTTGCTACCCCAGGTCCTAAACTGTAATGGAAATGCGCCACAGCGTGGGCCGGCCAGCGAGGCAGCCCGAGGCCAGAGCGAGGACGCTTAAACGGGGCTACCCCACTGCAGTGGAAACGCGCCATTAGACTTGGATACAGATCAACCTCATTTTTATTAGAAAACGTAGTGATCTGTGCATTATACAGGGAGGAGGCGGGATTCGCCCCCTCGTCCCGGGCGGAGAGATTTTCTCCCCCCACCAGCCAGATCCGTAAAGACGGAAAGCCCGTCCCCGTGAGTGCCGGCACGCCGGTTCCACGGGGTGGGCCGAAGAGGTGGAGGGCGCCGCGGGCACGGGATCTCCGTGTCGGCACCTCTCCCTTCGTCTCACCTCTCTACTGAGGTTTTTGAACGCACCGTGGCCCGCCCTCGGGGGAGGGGGGCCGCGCGCGCCGTCACAATGCCGTCTCTTTGAAACGGACATTATGGGGAAAAGTGGAATTGTGGAGAGAAATTACTCTTACTCTGGGATAAATGCAATAGTCTTTACGGAATGCATTTTTCCCACACACATACCTCACTCCAGAACTAGAGTTTACAAACGTAAACCACCGTTCTCCTGCGGGGGTCCCTGAACGCACCGCGGCCACGTATTAATGCTGTATTTCCCATTGCAACGGTGAAATGCATTAATCGGAGCTATTATACCAGGCAAGGTGTGTTTTCTGACAACAGCACGCCGGCAATAGCGTCTCTTGAACCCGCATTGTGCTTTGACAGCACTCGGTTTATTCCACTCACGTGCACACGCCCCCCTGCTGGCTCCCTATCCTGGGGTTTACAGCGGGGGCGGGGAGTGTAGGACAGTGTTTCTTCCTCTGGGAATGGGCAAGAAGCAGCCACGCTGCGACTACTCCTCATCCCGTGAGCAAGGAGATCGAGCCAAAGAGCCCTCCGTAAACACGGGGGCTCCCAGGAGATCAACACGATCCTCTTTGGAAAGTGCCACGCGGCGTGATATCCCAGGGACATCACACGGCGGGCAGCGGCGGCGGCCTGTGATGAAGTAGGGTCGACCCTATATCATGTGAAGCCACCGGTCCCCGGTCCCCGGGGGAACCGGGCCTGGGGCAAGGCCCGTGGACCAAGCTACTTATTCGGCCTTGCGGCCCAATAATCGCTCTGACCTGGTGAGGCGGGGGCATCTCTAGCAATGAGTGAGTAGCCCACACACCCGCCGCCATGATCATCATCCAGGGAGAGTACAGCCCTGGGCGGTGGACTTCCATGGACGCCAGACCCGGAAGGAATGGCGAACGTGAATGGCACCGCCTCGGCCATATCCTGGTCCCCCAAACACTCGAATCTAGCAGTGGCGACTCCCTGGAGGTATGATAACTCTTTTTAAACGTCTCTCAGTCTTTCGTGGAATCACTTCCGCTGCTGAAGAGAAAAGGATGATAGTCAGGAGGTGAGGCCTCCTTTTATACGGTGTGATGCACGCGCATTCAGGTAGGCCCGCCCAAGGCCGGCTACGTCTATAGAAGTCTCAGTGGGAGAATGCTCGCAGGGTAAGGTAGTACCCCTAGAGTCCAGTAGAGGGCGGAGCCTGTGAGAGATATAACTGATTTCAATGGAAAAGGGTTAGCTACAATTAAAAACACAGCAAAGAAGAGCTGGAGGGAGTAGTGAGGAGAGGCACATGCCTCCTCAGGGTTTGATTTACTTGCCTTTTGTTTTATTTAGCTAAGAGTGATTTAAGTTGTACCTTTTGAGTTTGCTATATTGAATTAAAGGGCCAACCACGGCCAAACTGCCCTCTGTTTCCTGAGTCTCTGTATGCTCCTCTAGCATTTTAAACTGTTAGTGGCTGACCCAGCCCCATGGTCTGTCACAGTAATGCGGGAAAGAGAAGTGCACTGTTTTGCCTAAGTCACTTACTTCAGAAGTAATAAGTCAGGTTTCAAATTGCCTAAGTCACAACAAGATGTTCGTAAATTGGCCTAAGTCATCTAATCCTCTTATTTTACACAATTGACAGTGTTATTTGTATGTCAATAGTCATATATTGTCATAACCTTTTTGTGTGAAATAATTAATATATATCATATATTCTATCTTTGGTTAAGTTTTCTGTTTTTTGAAAAACTTTCAAATATGACTTAGGCCATTAGTTTAAGAAGGTGACGATGTGTAAACGCTGACTGTTTTAGTTGTATACATTATTTGAATTTGTCATGTTGTTTGTGTCGCCATTTTAAACATGTATGATTCATATTTTTGTGTTTTCCCCAAACACAGCCAAAAAATGTAGCTGTTCGAGTGACAAGCCAAGGTTAGTGATCAATAAATCAGACTCTCATCTGTAAAAACAATGGTTTTCTGTATATTAGATTAAAATCCCTTCAGCTGGACTATCTAACTTCTGATTTTCCTCAGACCGAAGACTCCTGATGAGGAAACGGCTGTTCCAATTGGTAAATATGTTTTTATATAATATTAATCTGAAATGCCTATTGTATTGCCTTTGTTTGAAACAATATTTTAATTAAACAATTATTTCTACAGCTCAGTAGACGCAGAGGCAAAGAGCAGTGGAGATGAAGTCAGTGTTTTATCAACAGCTTTGAGTCTATTTTTGTACAAAAGGAAGCTGAAAGATTTTTACCAAATCAAACTCATGCTCTACCTCTTTTCCACAGTGCTAAGGTCTGTCCACTAGATGGCAGCAAATACCTTGATCAAAGCTGAGGACAATCTTTCCATGATCCATGAACACAAGAAGCTTTCTTTAATTTCATAATGTTACTGTGCTTGTTATATTTTCTTTATAAATGTTTTTATTATCAAAGACTGTTACTACAAAGTGTACCAACTTTAAATGGTATCAATAGTGTGATTCTCATTTGTATTTTTTGACCTAACGATTGATGCAAAATAATAAAACACATTTTTGAAAAGGTTCTCTTTTTTTTTATGCATCATTTTTTGATTTTCTTGGTCATTCCAAGAAGCCCAGGGAAAACCCTCTATGCTGCACTCCTGTTTCTGCTGACGCTGCACACACTTCAGTTACACATGCAGTAGTAGCTTCCAGCAGAGTGTGTGAATGATTAATGTGCTGCATTGTGCTGCACTTGGATAAGGATGTGGTTTAAAAAAAATACACTTAATTGTACCTATCGCTCTATTTAGTACTGTTTTATTGGCAGATTTTCAGCCATATTGAATCTGGCAGCCTCTACGGATGAAAAAGCTGCATTATGCAGGCTATTTCTCCTGGTGTTGCAGGAAAGGGACTGCACTGCATAACACATGGGAGAGAAACTGGGGCATTTTGAGCAAGCAAGCAACATTTCTATGTATTGGGAAGGCAGTATAATTAAGAGACTGGTGGGATTATTAGCGCAAAGCCACGTCATAGACAAATTAACAGCAACCCTTAGATTTCAGATATATATTTTTCAATTTCAATTTATTTAGAATGTGGGATACATGTGCTTTCCACTGCCTTTTGTTGTAGTCCGCATCCTGATAGATTACCCCCTCGTTGGTAGAACTCCACCCTTATGGATGTGATGCAGGGCTGTGCCCACCAGGGGGCCCCTCCCTCGCTCACAGAGGCTCTGAAGCAGTTCTACATGCTGTCCTGTCCTGCTACACCTCGCTTCATATCCAACCTGAAGCAGCAACCCAGCAACCTGCAACATATCTGCAAGACGGAGCTCTTCCACATCTCCTGCAGCCATGGCCACTACAGGTTTGATTGTTTCTCTCTTTTAGGATATTTAAAGTATGTATAACAGCTGTAAGCTATACTAATTGCCTTTGTTGAACAACATTGACTTGTTTGGTTCCTATAGGTGTGATCATTTTGTGATTTGTAATTGTATTTATCTATATTTACTTTACTTTAACGTTGTAGTTATTTGCCTGCTGCATTGTTGTTTCAGGCCCAAGAGCCAATTTACTGCTGATAGATCAGTGTTTTGACACATTTAAATGAATTGTAGTTGTAATTCAAAAATCCTCTGCTAATAAATTACTACATTTAATACATTTGACTAAATATGTTTATCAATTGTATCTCTTAAACTGAGGAGTCTGTTTTGGCAAAGAGAAAAGGCTGAAAGTAATGCAGACTGCCAGCTCATCCACAGGGGAGTGAGGGTTCAGCAACATGCAAGCCGCATTATTGACGCCCAGATATTCAATTTGGCACAGGCTGTAGTCTGGAAACACGCTTATACTAGCAAAGAAAATGATTTGTCCTGGTTAAAACTAGATATCTTTGTATGAAAATTAAACAGCAATCATTTCTGGAGGCTTCTTAAACTCTAAATCACCTTTCAAACACTACTTCTACATTCCAAGCTCCTTTTTTCCTCTGCTGCTGTAATGATACCAGGGGTATCCTGCTGCTGGCCTGTAACCCACTTTTGTTCCATGGTGCATCTTTTTTTCTGCTGAGCAAAGATGCTGCATTGAGCAGGGAAAAAAAAAATCCTCCTGAGGAGTTGTGGAGCCAAGGCTGCAGATCTGAGGAACTGCAGACCTCTCTGGTGCTGAACTCATGTAACACTATTCTCTCCTCTATAACTGATCCTTGTCTTTCTTTTGCAGAAACACTGTTTCCAGACCGAAGTGACTTTGAATATGGTAAGATTTACACAATCTACTATCAAAATCCTGTTAAACATATCACATTCTGTACTTTTTTGCTACATGTTATTTACCATGTTACATGTTAATAACTCTTCCCTTGTAGATTATGAGACTTTGTGTACCACGGGGGTCATCCTTGCCGTAATCATGTTTGTCGCTGGCATTTTAATAGCCCTCAGTAAGTTAAAACGTTCAATTATCGCTTTAATAAAGAGGCTTTCTCATATATGCATAAGCACATTTACACTGTTACTAATCTATCATTCCTCAAACAGGTAAAAAATTCACAAATTGTGTAAAACCCTCATCCAAGTAAGAAATATGCAAGGCTCAGTGGATGATTCGCCTGTGCATGTTGTATGAATTTGACTCAAATGGGAAAACCCCACCAATGTTTAAAAGAAACCTTTACAGTATTGTTTTTTGACTAAAAATGAGTTTTCCACAGCTTTTCCTATCCCTGCTCTGGTTGCCTCTTCTAAAAAACTTTCCTTTTCTGCATACCAACCCCAAAGCACCCTTCCAACACATTAAAGAGTTTTTACCCTGTATGACAAATCAGATGTAGGTAGTGCTTTGATGACGTCCTTATCTCCATGCTTGCTCTTATAACCACTCTCTTGTGTTGGTAGTGAGTAGGCAGTGTGTATTGATCTGATGTAATCTTAACGCATGACGCTTGTATGGCAACAGGAGAAGAAAGACGAGTGCTGCTGTTTGAGCGGAACAAAGATCTGCATTTTGGCCCAAAGACACCTCAGTTAGAACCCTGTGGCTTCAACTTGTTTTGCCATGATAAAGTTGTGGCCACAGTTTTAATCTTTATATCATAATCAGTAATCTTGATGTATTAAAAACAATGCAAAGGTGTACTAAGTTCCTAATTTTTGATTGCAGTTCCAACTCCTCTGCTACCCCGGTTCCAAAGACAGAGGGTAAGTTCACTTTTCTCCTCAGGATCATTTTATACTCAATAATGCAGACTTTCACTCTGCAACTCGCTCTGATTTGTTACCTTTTCTTGTGCAGTGCCTCCTCAAACTGTATAGAAACTGCAGTGTATACTTGGAAGGGAGGAAGTCGTCACAGGAACCATGCCACCGAAGACTCACACAAACTGTTATGGCTAATGTACCTCTGCCAGCTGGATGGGAAATAAACAGGGTTTTACAACACATCATAGCCTGGGTCCCTCTCGTCTCCCTCTGAAGTCTGTTGAAAGTCTTACAATAAGTGAGCAACATTTCTATCCAAATAATACTTTGAATCAAACAAATGCAAAACAAATGTCTCTATTCCTCACAACAGTCTATAAAACAATAACATTAAGAGCATGATTAAATATTTATAGACAAAATCTCGAACTTGAAACATGGATTTGCATGCATTGATAAATTGTTACAATTGTCTTTTGCCTTTTTTTTTCGTTCGCAATCACTTTTTAGCATTACAGAATAATGAAGAGATCCACACATGGCCAAATATAACATGCTAAAAGGAAATATCTAGCATAGTATATTCATATTATTATATGTGTTTTATTAGTAGTAATTCCTTCTTTTTAACTCAAAAGCAAAAATTACAATTTTACCTGTAATGCTGGAAAAAACAAGACCACTGTTTGAAATAAAGATCTCCTCTACTCGACATCATTTTATCATTGTCTTTAATAATCATGTTGCTTGAAATGATCATAACTTGTGATGTAAATATGATGTTGATATCAGAAAATGTTATTATCATAATGTCATAATCATCATTTATCTTTACAGGAACCTAGTTAGAGTCAAAAACAAACCTTCACCTTTGACGTGTAAAACTGGTGAAAATGAAAATTGGGCCTGAAGATAAATCCTCTGGTGGGATTGTGTATTTTCAATCCTTCTAATTTCAATAGATACATATAAATGATAATATTCGAATGGTGCCCTGAATATCAAAACATTTACATGGAACTTTAAATACAGCTATTCTACTTTTATTCATGACTCATTGCCAAAATGTACAGTTAGTCACCGCACTTACTCATGTAATGTCTCTGTCATAAGAACATTCTGTGTCACAATCAGTTTCAGATACATTAGTTTTACACAGTCAAGTTTCTTTTTCCCACAAAGAAAATGTTTACTTGATATTACGCACGCAGGTATGATGCATACAGAAAAAAAGTTAAATAATGTGATAGCTTCTTGTCATTTCTTTAACATACATATTCTTAACATAAGCACACATGCTGACTGAAATCAGAACCATCACTCAGTTTATCAATATGAAAACGTATCATGATGGGGGATTTGGATGAGAATCAGAGGGGTTTCAGGGACATTGTCCCTGAGATCATAAAAACGATTTCATAGAAATCAACGTTAGACTGGGAGTTTAGCCTGGAAGAGAAATGAATGTTACTCCACCTTCCTCATTCTGCTGTTTAAAGATAACTAATTATTTTTCATTGCTGCCACTAAAAGACTTTCATTTCAAATAGCTAAACTATCAATTTGATCAAAAATAAATACACAATATTACAATCAGTCAAATATTTAAATACTAACATTTTATGAAAATATATCAATGGAGGATATAATAGTTTGCAATGAAATGCCACACCTACACAGAACACTTCACCCTGTATGTAGAACATATATCTACATATATAGACTTTAAGCATCATTTAAATAATCCAATGTGAATTATATCTAAAGATTAATATCCCAAACTAGTTTGTTAACAGTATATCGGCCAGAGACTCCCAAAGCAACTTAATAATAAACTTTAAATCCCCTTCTTAACAGAGGTAACTTCTCATTCCCTCCAAGGGTCACATGTTTTTCTTATCATTCCTGGTCCTGCAAGGACACAATGCGTCGACGAGACGAAGCACTTCGTTTCTTCAGCATGAGCTTGAGCTAAAAATTAAAAGATAGATTAGGATGGTATTGAATTGAAACAGCAGGACTGAACTGTACTCTTTGGCTGCCTGTTAGAGGAGGGGCCGCTCACCTTCTCTCCCCTGGGCCCGATCTGCAGCAGGTGGGCTGGCTGGTCGTTCTCCAGGTTGCGGATGCTGGGATCAGCTCCTCTGCGCAGCAGCAGCTGCAGAATATCCTCCTGGTGGGGGTTACCATGGAGACCAGCTGCCATGTGTAGTGCTGTGTGGCCATGCGCCTGTGTCGTAAAAGGACAGTATGCGGCATGAATCAGACTGTTTGTACTCGGCTATGTACACAGTTTTTGCTTGGACTTTTTTCATAAACACACAAACACATACATATTTAAATACCCAGTTTAAATGAGTTTGGTGTCTGTTTGGGACTCACTTTCAAGTTGACAAAGTCTTTCATGTTTGGCAGGGGAATCCTCAGCAGATAAGTCACCAGATCAATGTTTCCCTCCTTTACAGCCAAGTGCAGCACAGTCTTGTTGCTTTTGATTTCCTGGAAATGCAGAATTGAACGTGATGTAAAAAAACAACACATGATTAATCCACAAGTCACACTTTGACATTTAGTTGTCAAACAAGTAAGAGAAAACAAAAGTGAGAGCAGGGGGAATATTTAGTACTATGACATAATCATGGTGAGATCAACTTTGGCACTTCCCCTTTGAACCGTTCACACTGACTGAAGGTCAGGGTTTGACATATTGGACATGTTTCTGTACCTTGTCACTAACTTATCCATTCATTCGTCTATTGTGACAGATCTATAGATCTGTGAGATTCAGAAAAAGGTGAGCTGTAAACGCACCTGGCTGAGCAGGGAAGCCCCTGCCTCGAGGAGCATCTTCACACAGGAGAGTTTCTCATCAGCCACGGTCTGAAGATCAACATCTGCCAGCCCGATGCTTGGGAATGCCTTCACAGAGGCACTGTGAGAAATGGCTGCGCAGTGCAGAGGAGTCATACCTGAGGCAGAGAACAAGGCGCATGTTTGAATTAAGGCCCTAATGATATTTACTTTGGAAAACGTGGTCAAACTACAGTATAATGTATGGCTAAGGTTACAAAACATTGCATTGTAACAGCATTAAGTTACCATCAAAATTGCGAGCCTCCAGGTTGACAGACGGCCTGCTAGACAGAATTGCCTGTAAGAAACATTAAGGTCAGCTCGGGAAAGCTCAGTTTTCTAAAGTTCTGTGATACAAACGTAATGCTGTACAGTTGCTGCTCTACCTGTAGAACCCCAGGTAAACCGTAGTGGGCAGCCAGGTGAAGGGCAGTCTGTCCTTTGACATCACATGCATTGATGTCCGATCCAAATGACAGCAGATCTTGCACGATCTCTGGCTGGTTGGCCGTCACCGCCACCAGTAAAGCGGTCTGCACAAACACATTCAACATGCAACTTTAGGAATAATCATCCTGTGCTGATATTTGTAATTTAACTGAATTGTGTCAAAAAAGGTGTACACTTTGTAAGATTTAGTGTTCCTACCTTTCCCTTGTGCTCTTTGGCATCGAGCCTGCCTACATCCCTCAGCCTCTCTGCAGCAGCATAGGCACACTCCCTGAGCCCCTTGGCAGTGTAGATGTGCAGGATGCTGACAGAACAAGAGCACACAGTGAATTAGATTTAAATGAGGCTGGAAAATCGTGGTAATCCCGCAACCAATTTCACACTATTCCCTTTCACAGTTGATTTGTCTACATTTGATCTGAGTTTCTAATAATCGAGCAGGAGCGGCTGACTCATTGACATCTTGGTTTCCTTCATCTTTCTAGAATTACTGAGCAGCACATGTGGCACTTTTAGCTTGTGACTGATCTAAACTCTGGGTCTCACCAGAAGACAAACAGAAACATATATAAACAACATAACTAATTCCCTATGATCACTCACGTGTCTCCATCCTCATCCTGCCCTGTAGCTCTGCTGTAGTCCATCGCGTTGAAAAGCATCCGGGCCTCTTCCAGCTTGGCGGGGTCTATCGCCGGACCAAAACTCAGCTGTGTCATCTGAGGAAGACCCAGGACTGACCAAGACGCCGCCATACTGGGATCTGCCAATGTCATCTGGTTCTCCTGCTCAGAAGAATGCAGGTCATAAAGGTCAACCCATTATAAAGGTATGACACAGGCACAGCTTGTTAATAGAAAGCCCATGACAAACAGATTTCTTACATATGTCTGGGGCATTGTATCTATAAATCCCTGGAGCTGCTGCTGGGTGCCATATTCGTGTGCCGCTGGGAGGCTGTAGGCTGAAGTGTAGCTGGGTCCATGCTGGCTGGGGTAAAAATGGACGGAAGACTCTGGTGCCGGGGTCCACGGATAACTCACCTCCATGTCCGAGTAGCTGCTTGATGCACCTAGAAAACAGGGGACTCAGTCAGTAATAGTTAAACTTGGCTTGACATGAAAATGAAAGATACAAGGCTGGTGATATTTTACTTTTTTGTTCCTGTGAAAGAATCCCCAAAACAGACCAAAACAACTCTTATCTGTCTTTGGCACTCAAACCCATTACATCTTTACAATAAACAGGTCACAAATATATACTTATGTTTACAAATTATTCCTTAATCCCTACAAATGTGTATTGGCTCGGGGTAGTTCAGGTAGACTTGCTTCAAAATTAACTAAAGTGCCCATGTTCTACATAGCAAAGAAATGTCATTTAGAGCAGCCGTCAGACTCATTGAGGTGTTTTTTTTCTTACCTGAACAAGGAAATGATTCTGCTAGAGACAACTGAAAAAGAAAGAAGGAGATGTAATTCAAAGCATCACATCTGCATGTCATTATAAGTGAGCTGAGCATCCTACTTACTGTCGCAGTGGTTGGGGGAGCAGCAGTTGTGCTGGCCGTAGAGCAGGGGGGGGGCACAGACGATGTCTCTCGCCTTCTCTTCTGCTCCAAGAGTTTCTTCACTGTGGGCAGAGTGCAACACGGCTTCTCATTTGGCGCTGAAAACGAAAAAGTATAGACTATTTTTGTCATATTTTGCTCACATACGATGGATATCATAGAACATTACATTACATTACATTACATTGCATTTAGCTGACGCTTTTGTCCAAAGCGACTTACATTCGACCAGGAAGACACAACCTTGAAGAAAACAGAATCATATAAGTACATCAGGTTTCATAGAGCCAAACATTTAAAGTGCTACTCAACTGGCTATAGATAAGCCAGTCCTTTATTAGTATAAAAGTGCTTCGTTAATAGTTCTAACGCTCGAAGTGGAGTCGAAAGAGATGAGTTTTCAGTCTGCGCCAGAAGATGTGCAAGCTATCTGCCGTCCTGATGTCAATGGGGAGCTCATTCCACCATCTTGGAGCCAGGACAGCAAACCCACGTGTTTTTGCCGATGGGAACTTGGGTCCCCCTCGCAGCGAGGGCGCAGCGAGTCGTTTGGCTGATGCAGAGCGTAGTGCACGCGCTGGGGTGTACGGTTTAACCATGTCCTGGATGTAGGAAGGGCCAGATCCATTCGCAGCATGGTAAGCAAGTACCAGTGTCTTGAAGTGGATTCTAGCAGTTACCGGAAGCCAGTGAAGGGAGCGGAGGAGCGGAGTGGTGTGGGAAAATTTAGGAAGGTTGAAGACCAGACGAGCCGCTGCATTCTGGATGAGCTGCAGAGGTCGGATGGCACATGCAGGTAGACCAGCCAGGAGGGATTTGCAGTAGTTTAGGCGTGAGAT